TATATATGTGTGTTTATATATCTGTATAAATGTGTGTGCATATATATCTGTATAGAAAGGTTACACACAAAATTCTCAATATCACCTTCCTTTTGTGAAAGGGATAAGGAATTTGGGGATGGTGAAAAGTCAAACATACTTTTAATTCCTTTGGGTATTATTTTTCACAACTTTTTGTACTATATTCTTTCTTTTAAAATTACATACATGTATTCTTTTTTTGGTTAAAATAGTAGTTAATACAATTCAAAATTTAAAATAATGCTGTGGGAAATTTCTACACAGCCAAGACAATAACAACAGCCTAGATCTGAGTCTCTCCACACATCCTCCAAAAAACTACACAGACCATATAAGACAATAAAACTATGCAAATTACACCCCTACAGCACAACTAAAAGAGAGAACACAACAAACTTTGAATCTCCCAAAAGTACATAAGTAAATAACATTTTCTAGCCAAGCTATGACTCAAGATGCTGCCATAAAGTCTTTGTGGGAAGTTGAATATTTGAGAAAACTATTCAAAAGAGAGCAGAGAGGAATAAGCCTCCTAAGACTGATCTAAAATCACCCACAAAAGGAGAAAGTCTACCCCAAATGTAAAAATATTTTTAAAGTTTCCTAGTAGACCAGAGCACTTAAGAGTATACTATTCATTGACATGGAGTTTTGTTCTTTTAACCAGGAGAGTATAGAGAACGCTTCATATAATGTAAAATGTAGGCAGCAGAATTTTGAGTGTTACTTTCCTTTTACTATAGAGTTGGCAAGTAGGTCCTCAAATAAAAACAGATAGGCACAAGTATTCTCACATTCTAAAGAAAATAGCCATTGTTTGGAGTTAAGCTTCTCCCAGCTTACTTCTGACTTACTAAATGATCAAAAGTAGTCTGGCTGCCCCCAAATGTCATTTTAGTGTATAAAAGATAAAGGGAAATGTAAAGAAGGAGATACCCTAGCGATAATTGGTAAAACCTTCTGAGGACTGAGAGGCAATTCTATCCCCTTCAGTGGGAGACAGAACTATGATATCTTCCTGATGCCCTCTAGGAACCAAAACGGTCAGAATAAGCATCTGTAAAACGTGGAGGTTCCTGCAAAAGAGATCTGCCTTTTATTCATTCTCTAGGTATTAGTCCGCTCAGGCAGCAGGCTTGCTGGTCTACCCTGTGTCTATTTAAACAGAGGAAGAAGTTATTAAAGAGAGCAAGACTGAAAGAAGACCAGGATTGGAGTACAAGCTCTCTCATCATTTGACCTGGCAAAGATGTAGGAACTTCTGGGTCAAGTGAGCACTTGGAAAGTTGCTCAAGCTTGAGTCATCTTCCTGGAATTCACTCAAGAGCAGCTGACCCACCAAAGGACAGTGAGGTTGACAGAGCTGTTCCTGATAGGAGTGGGTTAAGCCCTGACTTGATATCTCACATCATGTAATTGGCCAGTAGAAGAATCCCACAGGGTCTCATAAAGAACTCATACTTGTGTTTCACAAAAGCCCAAGAATTTGGATGTCACATGAAGACAGCCCATGCACACAAAAAGCAATGCCAAATTCAAACTATCTTTTCTGTCCTCCCTTCCTGCCTCTCTCCTCTTCATCTTCCCTCCCCATACTCCTATACAGCCAGGAAGAACAGACAAGTAGGGGGAATAAGTAAAGGGGTTTCTGAAACAGACTGTGCCCCCTCCTTCTGCCCCACCTCCCCCACTCCATTTCCCTCCAAGGTGTTGTAGGCTTTAAACAACACATTATCCCAAGTCCTCAGAGCCAAAAGTCTAGCTGGCCATAAGGGAAGGAGGAACTTTAATTTAAATTTCAGATTGCAGTTTTTAATAGAACTAGAATGCAGTTTAACAACTGAAAATAACGGAAGAGTTAGGGAATCTGCTTGAGATATTATTTAAGAGCTAGAAAAAGAATACTCAACAACTCATGATTGAAAATCAGTAAGTGAATTCCTTGCTTAAACAGATCTAAGCTGAAAAAGTATAGTAAAGCAGTTACACATTCAAATAAATAAAATATTTTAATTCAGTTTAAAAACAACAGCTACTCATTCTGCAAACACATTATGAGTAGACCAAGAGGTTTTGTGTATGTGCGTGTGTGTGTGTGTGTGTGTGTGTGTGTGTGTGTGTGTTTTGAAGAGAGTACTTGGTTGATTATTCTGCTTCCCATAAGCATTTTTAAAATACGAGGATCAACAGAAAATGAAATATCTTACAACCACTTTCTAGATTTCTTAGTTATTCCTGCACATGGATTGTTCTGTACCTATTCATCAAAGAGTAGGATTTTTTCTTCTGATCACTTGTATATCAACATAGCCTGCACATAGACTCCACCAAACCAAGCTAGTGATCATATCATGTGATTGCACAGGGATAAAAGTTGATCTTCACAGTAATCAAGGCTGAAGTAACAGAAGAGTCAATGTGTTCATACGTCATGTGTCCCTAATGTGATTTTTTTAATGCAAGAAATCGAGAGCAAATTTAAAATCAACTTACAATGATCCATAGACATAAGGAATTAAAAAATGTAAAACAGCTTCAAATTTTATTTGACAAAGCTTTCGTTCAAAATTTAACAAAAAGTAATAAATTCATTTGGCTTTCACATTTCAGTATTTCCCAAGTGTACCACCTGTTACCACTTAGAAGTTTTAAGAAGCATTGCAACTAAAAAAGGGCAGGTAATAGGATGATGGAAAAGAAACTAGTTAATCAACCAAATTTACATCAGATTATTTTAACTATTGGTAAATGACCTGCAGATTGAAGGGAAGGATACCTCCATCAAAGAGGGAGTGGAAAATCCCCTGTAGGGTTCAGAATGGGGAGTTTGGATGCCCAAGAGGAGATAGTTACCTGAATGAGAGGTGCTTTTGCTTCCCAGTTGGGTTTCTGACTGGCTGTGGCTGACTGGTGTGAGGTCTTGGCAACTTTGGATGGGAGAGTCCCTTCCTGTAGGGTCAGTACCTGATGGCTTCTCGATATTTTTCATCTCCATTTCTTCATGATGTATCCAAAGGTCAGGGGGCCTGAGGTCCTTCTGGCTGCCCTTCCTCTTGCCAACACTGTGGGTGGCCCGCTTCCTATGGAGCAAAAAATTAGAAGGCGATAGTGAGTACCTCTATTCAGTGGTCTTTCCTCTCTTTTCTCAGTCAATTCAAGTGTATCAAGGAAAGGATACAAGAGTGCTCCCAGGAGGAAACTTATGAAATCCAAGAATTGGCAGGCGTGTCTTGGCTGCCTTTCCTCCCCACCCCTGGAACTTCACCACATTATGGGAGCAGTGGTGCTGAATCCCCAAGGCCTAGGCTGCCTGCCAGAGAGTGCCCGATTCTAGCTTCACCAGCTACAAATTTTCACACAAGGTGACAATGGGTTAGATGGAGCCATATGCCAATCTTTGGAGCTAGTCATAAGGTACTTGACTGTAACATCTGTTTAGGAGATAAATGAAGGAGTTGCTTTGAAAGGGCAAATAGAAATAAAAAGGCCAGAATCTGTGACAGCCAAGACTGGTGTTTAGAAGAAAGTCCATAGCTCAGCTGTATAAGTTAATGTGCTATTTGAAGACAAAATGCGGCATGAGGACATTCTAAGGAGAATAAAGCACTTGTGCCTTGGAGTCACTAAGTATCTGGATGCAAACACAATAAGACCCATCCTTTGGAGAGAGAAGAACACAGTTTAGAAGTAGGCTTCAAATATCTCTTATTTTCCTCTGTAAGAATTTAACAACCATAAATTCATTTTTCAGTGGTAGTCTCTTTTGGGGGCTAGTGAGATTCAATGTTCCCTGCAGGCTAAGTAAAGTAGCATGATATTCCTGCCCACTGTTCTCTACAGTAGGGGTCAGTAAACTATGGCCTATAGACCAAATCTGCCCACGGTCTTATTTTGTAAATAAAATTTTATTGGAATCCTACTGAGCTCCTTTATTTTCACACTGCAGTGTGTTGAGTAATTGTAACAAAGACCATGCGTCCCTCATGTCTCACAAAGCCTCAAATATTTACTATTTGCCCCTTTTCAGAAAGTTTTCAACCTCTGCTTTACAGTTCTGTTTTTTTTTTTTAAGATTTTATTTATTTATTTCAGACAGAGAGAGAGCAAGCACGAGCGGGGGTGCGGAGGGGGGTGGGGCAGAGAGAGAAGCAGGCTCCCAGCTGAGCAGGAAGCCCAATGCGGTGCTTGATCCCAGGACCCTGGGATCATGACCTGAGCTGAAGGCAGATGCTAACCACTGGGATCATGACTTGAGTCAAAGGCAGACGCTTAACCAACTGAGCCACCCAAGCGCTCCAACAGTTCTCCGTTTTTAAAAATCTCCACTGTAGCTTCTATTTTTTTTTTAAGGTAATAGTGTCTCCTCTAAGACAGATTTCAGATAGTTAAAATCTAACCTCTGATAGAACCCCAGAGAACTCCCTCTTAGTTCCTCACTTGCAACGAATAGCTTATAAGGATTAACTGTTTTCACGGTTGCTAAATGGTTCAAACCAACCACTTCAGTGAAAACTCTTTGTAACCTCTACAAGGCGACTGCGCTATTTTCCAATGCTGAAAAGGAGCTTTATGCATATGAAGCAATTAATGAATGTTTAGTGGTGTGACTTATTTTTTGTTATTGTTTTGTTTTACATTTTTTGGTCTTTTTTGAAGGATGCTGATAGGGAGAGGAGACAAAGAATGCCAGACTTAATATTTATCGAGTAGTTTAGCAGAGAAATAATGCAGTATTTTCTGTTCTAATGTTTTCCCTTACATCTACCTACATTTTGCTGATTTCCTGGCAGCTGTCCCACACTGACTCTAGACAATGGTCTGTAATAACCCTTAGATCATTTTCTTGTGTCTAAGATAATAACTCTCTGCTAACCATCCATTCCCTGAATTCATTTCCTTCTACTTCACCTGCCCACAGGAAACAATCTGCAAGTCACACACAGCTCTTTATGTAATCTACCCCTGGTAACTAATTAGAACAATTTAATGTCATTTTCGAACTTGGAGATTTCACCCTGTTATCTTTCTAACAAATCAAAATGCTAAATAACGTTTTAATCCCTGTGCCTACAAGACTGCATACAGAGAAGTACCAGTTCCAACATCCAGGATAAGACAGTCAACCTTTCCATAATAACTCAATATTTAAATAGCCTGTGGGGGAAAATGTGTCAAATAATCTTTGAAACTAAAAATAAATTATGAATTCTGGTTTCCTCTCATTTACACACATGACTCATTCATTCATTCATTCATTCACCAGCCCCCATAACCTCAGTATACCAAGCTTCCCCAGATGTATTTTATAAAAAAAAAAAAAAAAATCCCAAACCTGACTGAGGTAGAGCCTTTTTATATGTTGTGATTCATAACCTCCACCTGGAAAAAAAATTATCATTCCTGATAAAATGCATACACATTTTTCTGATGGATTTTAGTCAGATCAAGACCTTTTCTGAGAAGCTACTCATCCACTCAGCTGTCAGTCAAGAATCTAAAGACTCTAAACAGACTTTATTTCCTTTTTGTATATATTCTATGAAACAACACCTACTACTTTTATTTTCTCTATAATGTGTCTTCTCAAGAGAGAAATATTTGACCTTGGAGGGGCCTCCCTTCCCTGCTGGTGGTAGCCGAGCCGCCCATGCAGCAGGTTTGTAATAAAACTGACATCTGCTCATAACGAAATTGCCTGAAATTCGTCTTAAAACCTGCAGGAACATTGTCATGCCAGCCTTCTGGCATGCCAGTAGAACCATCTGCTGGTTCTCTGACATAATGACTGCTGCCCATTGTGGTCCCCTAGCTCCTCTGTCTCACCACTGGAATCTTCAAAATTTGTATGCAGATGAACCTAATGCAATGGATCCTGAAGTATGGTCCCCGTATCAGCATCACCTGGAAATCTGCTGGAAATGCACGTTGAGATTAGAAACTTGCAGGTGTGGGGGGATGTTGTGAGAGGGCAAGGCCCAGAAATCTATGTTTTAACATAGATTTGTTTTCAAGGGAAGTCAGATGCACCTAGTTTGAGAAACGCTGTTTCAGTGAATTTGGTTTTGTTTTTATTTTAAACTTAGTTTTTGTATTCGATATAGAACATGTCACGTGTTTAACCCTCCTATATGCATGAATCTTTTCTCACAGGTACCAGTTTCCAAACACAGCAGTAGGATGGGAGGGTCTCTTCCTACCCCATGAATTCTTGAATAAAGGCTCTCTGTTCACAGCATAATCAAGTGCTGGTGGTTTTTGTTCTCACTCTCCATCTCTATCTCTCTCCCTATTTCTCTCTCTCTCTCTTATTTATCTCATCATACTTTTGCCCAGAATGCCTTTACAATCTTATTTACTTACAAACTACTTACTCTTAAAAGATTTTCTTTCTTTTTTTTTTTAAAGATTTTATTTATTTATTTATTTATTTGAGAGGGAGAGAATGAGAGACAGAGAGCACAAGAGGGAAGAGGGTCAGAGGGAGAAGCAGACTTCCCGCCGAGCAGGGAGCCCGATGCGGGACTCGATCCAGGGACTCCAGGATCATGACCTGAGCCGAAGGCAGTCGCCCAACCAACTGAGCCACCCTGGTGCCCCCTTAAAAGATTTTCTTCAAGCCTCTCTCCTTTAGGAATCCTTCTTGACCACGTAAGTCAGTGTAATCTTAGCATATCTAACTCATTTTCCTTGTCTCTTTCTTTACCACTCATCTTGCATTGAGTACTGTCTGTCTTACTGAGCTGGCCAGGTGCTCCCAGTGTTTGAATTGGTTTCCTCATGATACTGGAGCAAATTCTGTTTCTTTCACTTGTCCAACATCATACAGTTTTACAACATTAATTCATGTATTTACTCAGTGAACATTTACAGAATACTGAGTATGTGTCAAGAAATTTGCTAAGCACTAAGAAATAGGTGAGACATTAGGAGCTTAATAAATGAATGAAAAATGGCATGGCTACTGTGAATTTCTGCATTTTTGGTGGCAGGAGCAACCACTGGGACTGGCAGTTGGTAAAGCCGAAAAACTAGAGACCAAATCGTAGGAGACCTTGCCTCCAACAGAAACATTTTTGATAATATCAGAAGTCAGTGGGGAATTGCAGAAAGATCTTTAGCTCAAGAGTTAATAATCAGATTTGTTACTTTGTATCATGCAGATCACATAGTAAGCACATAGTAATTACTTGAATTAAATAATAAGAATTTTTCATTATCAACTTGGAAAGATTTTTTTGCAAGGTTCTCTGATTCTTTATTGAACTGTTTCTTACTTTGCACATAACCTATTACTATGAGAGAAGTTTGTTTCCTTTTCACTTTTAATTGGGATGTGAAAGGGTAAAAACCAACATTGGGTTAGGATTCATTTTATTCAAGACTGCGGCCTTTGAAATTCTAAAATACTATAATCTCAGATTCTTTTGCCACATTGTAATAAATTATTATTTTTTTACATTGTAATAAATTATTAAATTCCCTTCTGTGCTTAGACATCCTCTGCTCAAGTTGTTCATAGGAGGCAAATAGCTCTGTACTAATTCTCCTGGTCAGATACACATGTGCCCAAGATCTACTGGGAAGTTAAGAGAAGGACACTTTGCCCCACTGGGGATTCACAGAAGATTTCAGAAAGGAAGAGGGCCTAAACTGAGTGTGAAGAATGATTCAAGTTAACGGGGAAAAAATACATTGGGATGTATAAGCCCTACTTCTTCCATCTAAATCTTTCCCAAAGGTTTTCAGCTTCCCAATTCTCTATATTGATTATTTTTATTCTACTAACTGCTATTAAAAGCAAAAACAAACAAAAACCACCACCACCAACAATAACCACAACCACAAAAACAAAAAACTTGGAATCCCAGGGAACATCTGTCCTAGTATTCAAATAAACATGCATTTTCTGTGGTGGAATTAAGTTATATTGAAGACCAAAGGGTTTGCCTCTGTGGAATACTAAAAAACCATTAAAATGTTAAAAATTTGAGAAATCAGTGAAATTAACCTAAACTACAGTAGATTTCATTTAAGAGTTTAAACATTTGATTGTCAGTACTGGAGATAATTATTTTTGTCAAGATTTGAGTGTGGACTAATATTTAAAACCTGGCTATATACTTTTTAAATCAAATAAGAGACTTAGTCAACTGTTTATAAAGTGAAACTTGAATTTTATTTACATATTTAAATTGAATATATTCAGACAAGTTGTTGATTATCTACCCAGGTAACTGCCTTAGAAATATGATAACCATGTGTCGGGGATTTCCAGGATGTTCTCAATGTCCCCTATTTTGTCTTTAGTATCTATAGATACATTGTAACTTATCATGATACATGTTCTATATTTTGGCTAGGAAAATGTTATTACTTAATTAAAAAGCACAGAACCCCTTTAATTTTTCATAAACACATTTTTTCTATATTATGATATTCTACTATAATTTCACTAATTCAAAATGTGTAAGGGGATTCTCTTCAAAGTAGTAAAAAAATTTAAGTTAATAACTAAAGAAGAAAGGCAAAATTATTTTTATTTCATATTAATTTGAAGCAAAGTGCTAACATGCAATTCTATAATTTGATAGCATTCCATGGGGAATTTCAATGTTTTAAGATAGATTGATAGCAGGTACTTAGCCCTGTTTCTCATTTGAGGAAACCGACATTCAGGGATTAGGTCTTCCTTTAGGCTGATTTAAACACCACTAATTTAATTCAAGAAGTGAGGAATTAGAACTAGAACTCGAGTTCTAACTTCTGTTAGTTACTTTATATTATAAAAATAAAATCTTACCAACTGGAATGTAAATCAATCAGAAAACTACATCATTATTAAATATGTGTATATATATATATATATGATAAATCATAGAATAAAATGTGTGGATACTAACTTGAATAAAGTGTTACCAATAGTACACAAAAATATGTTTCAAGTCTATTGGGTATAATCAAGAGCCCCAATAAAACACAAAGACAATTTACATTCTCCAGCACCAACAGATGAAGAGATATCGAAGAAGCCCATGAAAGTGTTTCTTATATCACTTTATTAATTACATTAAACTCTCATTTTTCTGAGAGTTCTGTAAGGGACCTTATTTCTGTCTCAGATTGGAATTGATTTTGCTTTCATCTGCATCACTTAATTTGTTCTAAAAGACTCAGTGGAGGTGGTATCAGGATGAAGGATCCTCAGCGAATTCAAGAAAAGCTAAATTAAATAGGAATAAAATCAGGAATATCTTGAAGGAGAAAAATTTTTCTGTTTTTCCTCTGTTAACATTACAAACAAAGAGACCGAGATAAATGCCAATGGGTCTGTTACAGGAGAAGGATACAGGAAGCAAAATAGTGAAAAAATGCCAAGTAAATATTAAGAGACTTTGGGTGAAGGCTGAGGAAAAATCAAAGTGGCAGTAGCATGGGAAGCTATAAATCCACTGTCTTTGGCTTCCAGTCGTTCATGGAGTGATATATTCTTTCATTCATTTCCTAATTTTAAAAACAAGACATACCCAGGGCTCAGCCTCAACTCTTTCCAAATAAAACCTTCAAGCTCTTAACAAAGTGCTTAGAGGGGGATTTAAGACAATTTAAGAGTTTCTCAAAATACCATCAAATACCACTTTTGCACTTTGAGAAGACTGGCATTTTCTCTATGAGGACAAAACGTGCCCAGGAATCCGGTTCATCAGGTCAACATAACCCTCCAACGTTCTTCTCACAAGGATGAAAATAGAACGAGCAAAACACCCTGCTACACACAGATGGTTTAGTTAATTAAACTTAGCTTAGTGAATGCATCCACGTTTTTAAAGCCCTCATGAAATAGGGTCAGTTTGGCTTTGATGCCTTCCCCACTTCTGTGTCTGTGAATCTCTGTCAGCTCAGCTTCACAGCCCTGCCGCATTGGTGTTCTACCGTTCTATGTCTGCACAACCCCTTTCCTGGGATAGCTCGACTGAGAGACTGTTGGATGCCTTACTCAGTTACAGTTCTTTTTTTCTCCAGAGCCTCGCTGAGTGTCAAGCATGTGGAAGTTCTGTGGGTAATTAGGATTTCCCAGAATCCTAACACACGAGAGTCAGTTAAGCTGTCGGCCTGGTTTCTTGTTTAAGCACAGTGGATTAGCACACCAGCTAGCACAACCAGCTGGAAGACAGCCTCACAAATGCAGCCAGGAGCGAAATGTGCCCTGCCATATACATCAGTTAAATACAAAGACTGTATTGACACCCCTATGTCATTTTCTTCAGTTTGTACATCTTCCTGTACCCTATTTCTAAACACTTCACTTCAAAAGGTTGGAAGATACAATACCGATCAACAAATGGGTCATGGGATTTTTAAAAAGAGAGAGAATCTAAGATATTAGCAAAGGAGAGGAAAATTATTTGTTAGAGAATCTTTCTCTGACACTATGTGTATCCTACAGTTGTCAAACCAGCTACCTATAGGCCCATGCCTCAGGCTTTCAGAGCCGGCACCGTGCCTGAGGCCAAAGGGGGGAAAAATCAAGGGAAGAGCTTATTATAGCCAATTCAGTGAGAAAGTACAGCCGAAGGGACAAATCAGGCAAGATTTGAAAAGTGCTAGAGAGGCAGAGAATAACCAGGAGATTACCGCTGATTCCCACAACTGGCTGACATAAGGTTAATATGCTGATTATGGATGTTGCTGGCAGTGGATAAGCTGAATTAAAACCATCTTTCCATTCTAAACTTTGACTTTGATGTATCATCCTCTGCATATGCTATAACCTAGAACTGCATAATGTGAAAATATTTTTAAACCCCTCAAAAAGTTTAATTTCTGAGAATTAACCATAGCCAGGAAATCTGAACTATTCTGAATTTCTAGAATCTCTCTTCTATCCTAACTACTGTCTCCAAACTAAACACTCCACAGTATTGTAACTACATTGAATTTGGTAATCATTCATGCAAAAAGCATTGATTCAATGCCTACAGTCCTCCTTGCCAGAATGGGGAAATACTTTTAGAGGAACACACGTCTCCAACATTTTACATAATTGTACAGAGGGCCATGAATTGGGACCTGATGAAGTCCATTGCCTAGATGCTGCTAAAGGAATACCTGCCCTCGCCTGAAAGGAAGAATCTGGCCCAGAGAAGTAAAATCAAGCAGAAATGCCACGTGGGTCTCCAGGTGGATTCTATTATTAAGTCTGCAAGTCTGGTCCTCCCTCACTCAAGTTATGGACCTGGAATCAACAAAAGGCAAGGTTTTGCTCAGGTCAGAGGATAAGGGATATGTGGTGAATTATGAAAGAACACAGGAAGAGACTGTCAAAAATATAACTCAAGAAGGTGATAGGTCAAACAGTGACCTCTCTCCTCTTAGGAACCAGCTGTTACCTACTTTCTCTGCTGGGCTGAAGAGCGCCGGGTGCAAATCACAGCCACGATCACTACCACCAGCACTGTGATGACGCCAACGGTGATCACAATGATCACAAGCAGGTTGCTGTTCTTCTGAGGAGTGACACTGCCATGTGGGGGGTGCATCTGGCCAATGGGTGGCTCTGGGAAAAGACAGGCAAATGGAGATCAGATTTAGGGAGATGTGACAGCTTGGTGTTTATCAAGCTGTTAAGGATGTGAAAGTTCCTATTGCTCTGGGCATTCCTAAAGCTGGGGGGGGGGGTGGGAAAAGCAATGAAAAATGAGAGGAAAGATCAAAATTATCTACCTAAGATAAATGAAATATATGTTCACACAAAATCTTGTACAGAAACATTCCTAGCAGCATGATTTAGAATAGCCAAAAGTGGAAACAACCCAAATGTCCATTGACTGAAGAATGGATAAACAAAAATGTGGTAGTTCCATACAAGGGAATATTACTCAGCCATAATAAGGAACTGATATGTGATACATGCTACAATATGCATGTACCTTAAAAACGTTATTCTAAGGGCAAGAAGCCAGACACAAAAGGTCAATATTGTGATTCTATTTATATGAAATATCCATAATAGGCAAATCTATAGAGACCGAAAGTAGATTAGTGTTTGCCAGTGGATGGGAGGAGTGAATGAGGAAGGACTGAGAATGGGTATAGATTTTCCCTTGGGGATGGTGAAAATGTTTTGGAATTAGATAGTGGTGCTTGCGGCACAACCTTGTGGATATACTAAAGACCACTGACTTGGTGCACTTTCAGAGGGTGAATCTGTGGCATGTGAATTATACCTAAGGTTTTTTTTTTTTTTTAGAGAAGAATTAACCTACCATATTGAGTAGAAAGTGGAGAGAGGAGGAAGAAGGCTACTTTGTACTGTGAATATTCCAGGGTGATGAGAATCAAGGAGGCTGTGCTTTATGAGAAAATACTTTTTATTAGATGGTGTGAAAGACAAACTATTTGAAACCAATCGCTCACAACGAAAGGAATTTTTTTTTAAAGAAGCTACCTATAAAACATGTAATTTTCAACCTGTTAAGAATGTATGAATCCCACTTAAAAGCCAATCACTGGGTTTGAAAGAGTGTCATAAAGTCCTGATATAACTGTTTTCCTGTGCTGGCAGTAGTACCTCAAGGTAGACAATATTTAGGTGAAAATAACAGACTGATAAGATATTTTTTATAATTTGCTTATATAAGGGAGAATGGCTAATGACCCTTTAAATTGCTTTCTTTAAATCCTCGGTGATCAATTAGAAATACGATGTTCTATACATCATGTGATTCATTAGAAGCCACAGTGTTTTAAAAAGTAAACATTAGCTTATTTTATTTATCAATTAATTTAAAAAGGAGCAGAAAGCAATGAGTTCAGTTGTTTTCCTAGAACTAAGTTTGAATGTGCTTCTTTAACAAGTTATTAGCATTCTATACCTCCTGAGTGAAATATTTAGGCCTTTGGACTCAGTGCCTTTGCCTATAAAATGGAAATAATACTTATTATATACAGCTATTGTCAAAATTAGAGAAAATACATACAAAATAATCATTTTAGCATGTGACGGGGAGTAGTATAAGCTCATTGTACTACTGAAACATTAAATAAAATGTTGCCTAAATTAATCATCTACCATACCATTTGGGATACTTCTGGTGTAGACTTCCAAACTACAAAGTTGTTAGAAATAATTAACTTCTCACAAATGAATAGAATAACCCAGTTCTTGCTTCAAAATCAAAACACTATCTTTTGACAGTTATCTAAGAATCATTGCTTTTTTGAAACAGTAGTCACCTAAATTTATTTCTGAGTCATTATTATCAGAAAAATATTAAGCACTTCTGATATAACTTGAATCTCAGGGGAAGAACTCATCAAAAGTATTTAAATAGCACTTTCTGTTAAAAGATTCTGCTTCTAAGTGAAAGAAATAAGATTTCCTTGAAATAATTTTTACATTTACTACAAAGGAATGAGTCAAGTAATGAAAGGTCAGAACTTTCTGTAGCATAGTTTTACTTACAGTTTAAGAAGTCATTTTACAGTCGTATCTCAATATGCCCTTTCTGTGCTTAATAAATTAATTGATTGGAATAAATTAACCTTTTATGTGAGAACTTACAATGAAGACCGTTGGAGATATCATGGATTTTTATTAGCATGACTTAGATTTAACAGTTCGCCATTTCTGACCAACTTATGAGTCCTACAGAGCAGTACACCTTATGAACATTTTTAAAAGCTTGTAAACTAGAATTTTTCAAATTTCTACTCATTTTTTCCCTTTCCACCCAGAAAGACATTACATTTCAAGTCAGAAAGTAAGGACTCTGGGCTCTGCTGCACATTAGTGAGATTAGATTCGTGCCATTTGCCTCAGAGGGCTAGGGATCATGAGGACTCCCATTATAAATCTTTGATTCCAGGCCTTTATGACTTCCTCATAAAAGTTCCTATCAGTTTAAAGCTTGGTATTCAAGGTCTTTCATTAATTTCCCAATCTCAATTCAAAGGCTGAGTAATCAGAATATGTGACATCAAATGGGCAGTTCAGAAAGTCAAGTGGAATGGAATCTTTTGGTATAGTTGACCCTCATTATTTGTCATAATTTGTTCTATAAAGTTGCTGTAAACACCGAATTAAGGAATACTAAGTATTGCTTCTAGAGGCAATTCAGTGTTCGGTTCCTGGGAGCCTCTGGTTACAACATTTTTATCAGTCAATGCATAATCGTGTTTTAAGTGTGTTTCTGTTTAAAGACACTTTATTTAATATATAATGTGCATTCATTAACAGTGAACTCACAGTCAACAACATTACAACTCATGCTTGAGTGAAGCTTAATTAACACACACATTTTCTCCACAAGGTACATCACACAGCCTTTTGCATGTAGGAACACTAAGCAGCATTTCAGCACTACATTTAAGGGCCACTTTAAACACTGAACCCGCCACCAAAAAAATTCACAAAAATGTGAACAATTGGCACTAAATACACTGTAGAAAAGACACTTGTTTACACTGTGAGAGCTGAAACAATAAGGCAGAGGGTCCCTTGTTCCATTGTGGCTGAGTTTGTGAGCATTGAGCTACTTAAATTTTTGGCCGCTCTGCACATGTCCACAAATGACCATAAAAGCTCCCCGAGTACTGATTTTGGTAGTTAAAAATCCAAATTTTAGCATTAGATAAATTCACAAATGCAGAATCTGCAAGTAATGACCATGAACGATGTATCTGGGTGCATCAAAAGACTGCTCCAAATTAGGAAAAACTTAAGAGCTCACAAACCTAGATCACTAGAGTTAAGAGTTCTGAATGACAGCCTGACTCCAGAAGAGGCCAGATGACACTTAATGCATTTTGGGCTTCAGAGGGGAAGCTGCATGTAATTCAGAGATTTGCAAATATCTTCCAGAACACTGTGATTATTTCATAAGATAAGGGATGTAACACACTGGCCACAGGACCTGGCACAGAGTTGGCATCCAATAGACATTATGATGTCATTCAACATCATTCATTCTATGTGATCTTTCCAAATGAAAGAAAAATACATGTCTTAACGCATCTTTTCTTGGTGTTACCATAATAGCTTGGGTATCCATTGTCTGCGTAATCAAGGACCCAGATGTGTTTCATTAAAATTGGTCAGGAGAAAATTAAATTTTTAAAAGTCACATGGGCATTCCATCCATTTTTTATTTTCATGATGTCTGATTACCATAAAAGGTTACATCCTTTCTCTACTAAATTCGATATAAACAAATATATATTTCATAATCTGATGGGCCTAAAGTCCTAGTAATAATTGGAAAATTGGTTTTGTGAAATAATAATGTCTTTAATTTTTTTTAAAGATTTTATTTATTTATTTGACAGAGACAGAGATGAGAGCAGGAACACAAGCAGGGGGAGTGGGAGAGGGAGAGCAGGCTTCCCGCCGAGGAGGGAGCCCGATGTGGGACTCGATCCCAGGACCCTGGGATCACGACCTGAGCCGAAGGCAGACGCTTAATGACTGAGCCACCCAGGCGCCCATGTCTTTAATTTTTATAGTACTTGGGAGAGAACAGATCCAATGATTGCTTGGGGACTGGACTTCTTTCCCACAATTGCAGTCTTCGCTGATAACAGTTTTGTTATTAGAACACTCTGAGCTCAACATATGTCTCAATAATTTTACAGGTCTTTGAATTTGAACAGAAATTCCTATGGCATTGAATATTTCAAAGCATCTCCTGCTGAAATAAGGTGCTATACAGTCAATCAGCTGGAAGAAATTTCACAGATAATCTAGGCCAATGTTCCCTAAAATGAAATATTAATCAGCATTATGGGGTGGGGAGGAAGTTCCTTGGTCAATTAAGTTGGAAAACATATTTCTTTTCTCAAATCTCAGAATTTTGAACCTGCTAATTGCCAGGAGAGAGAGGACAGGGCTGGTAAAGGGTATAACCAATTATTCTAGAAAAATATATTGAAGATCCAGTTAGGTGCTGGGGATATGATGCTGTGATCTAAACATGGGTGGACCTTGAGGGCACCATGCTAATGAAATAAATCAGACAGAGAAAGACAAATATTCTATGATAGCATTTGTATGTGGAATCTGAAAAAGCTGACCTAATAGAAAGAGGGTAAAATGGTGGCTATCAAGACTGGGGGTTGGGGGGAAATGAGGAGATATTGGGCCAAAGGATACAAATTTCCAGTTACCAGAAGAATAAATTCTGAGGTTACAATGTACATCATGGTGATTATAGCAAATAATACTGTACTATATACTTGAAAGTTGCACGGAGTATAGATATTAAATTTTCTTATTACAAAATTAAATGGTAATTATGTGATGTGATGGGGTGTCAGCTAATGCCACGGTGGTGATTGTTTTGAGATATATAAGTGTATCAAATTAACACATTGTACACCTTAAACTTATGCAATGTTATATGTCTATCATACATCAGTGAAGCTGGGGGGGATGGGGGAGAGAATTCATGAAAGGATTCAAGCAGGCGGAAAGGAACCTATGAGAGGCACATATGGTTGTGATGTAGCTGTAAGTCTGCCCAACCGGTTAGACCAGAGAAGGAAAAAAAATCAATATAT